GACGGAACGGGATACATAATTACTGTGGTATTGAGTCTTATGTACCTACATATGTTTATCAGTGTAGTATCAAGGGCGTTTAAAACATTAAATGATTTGCAGACGAGTCTAAATTACTACCAATTTGTGTTATTATATCATATTGCCTATAATTTGTTGAATTGTAAATGTGTTATGTACCTGCGTGTATACATTTTGATGTTATTATTCAACAATCTAGTTATAATTAATAAAATTACATTATAACGAAACTTCTTAGCATTGTGAATGCTCAAAGTAGAAATAAATAATGTTTGTAATGAAATATTGTGAATTCTTTTTTTCCGTTTAATGTAAATTGATACTGTGTTCTCGAAAAATTATTTGGGATGATAAAATTAAATATACACTCAGACGTCTTTTACATATGGTTTAATTTTAAAAGTTGACATTTATGTTTAAGAGAGAGACAGCTATAAATTCTACTAATGAATTCAATATTTTAACATTTATTTTATAGCCCAATGGTATCTTTCGTGAAACACTATCTCACCATGAAATGCTTTATGTCATTCTAAGAGAAAATAATGATAAATATGTTTTATTTTAAATGATTTAGTGACATAAGAACTGAAATTTAATAATTAACACTGTAGTTACTAGTTGTAAATTGTGAATGAATCCTAGTAATGTTTAAGGTCTTGTAATTAATATTAAGGTAGTCATATAGTATTTGTCCCTACTTATTTATGAATATTGTAATATTTAGGGTACTAAGTACTTTATTTTGGACTTTTTCTCCGCCCATATATACATACGAGGCATCACAAGTTTATTTGTGATAAATTAATTAATACAATAACATATATATACATGTAGATAATACAATTTTGTCCGATTATGAGTCCATTTAACAAATTTAGTAGATGACAATTTTTAAATGTAGATTTCTAATATTATTCCGTCACAATAAAATCTCAAAGTTCTATGCTATGTAGCTGCTCTGTAAAAAATAAATTTCTATGTAACTATAATCGAAAGTCGTCCATTGTTTCTGGTGCTTAGGTCACAATCTTCCTAAGGGTCTTATTACACTATCAAATATGTACCATGTGTAGATAAATTTTATTAATAAAGCTGTATATAGACGCACTTTTGATATATGCAATGATAACAAATGTTCTTATATTTGAAACTTAATGTTTGTTGTAGGTATAATATAAATCCTATATATGATACTTATTGCCCTGCCATTGTCCCATCAGCCTCATTATCCTCATCCGTAGGCTCTGTAAGTCAATCCACTACAATTCATTATTTACCTTCTTTAAAACATGGTCTTATCTCCTACGCATATCCCATTATGTATATGATAGTGTAAAATGTCCTTAAAAGTGTAAAAATTTTATGATATACAATTTATCTTCTTCTATATAGTAAGTAGGAAATCTAACAGCATGTTAGGGGTCGTCCATAACTTATATGCCACATTAAGAACTGGGAAAGTGTGACAGCTGACGCAGTGGTGACTAGGTCACAATCGACAGGAGTCATAAATTTCGTGACATTCAAAATCTTTATATATCAATGAATATTACAAATTTTGAGACTACTGTCAGTTTGTTTATTTAATCATTTGTAGATGTAAAATTGCAAATTATAAGTTGAAGAGGGAGAATAAAAAATATTAAATTCGTGTGACATGTATGAATTGCCCCTACTGCATCACAAGCATACATAATAAATGAGAATCCATCACATTAGTATATCTTAACAAATTAAACAATAAACCTATTTAAGATTAGATATTAGTTGGGGAAATAATTTTCAGAAACATAGTATGTATGGACGGTTTCATTGGGATTAACTTGTTACGTTCGCGTGTTCGGAAAACTGTGCCTAATTGTTTCTTGTTCTATACGATATAAGCTCATTTTACAGATGGATGGACAGACTAAAAAGCAATTTATGTTAATCCAATGTCCGTTTTTAATATGATCTCTATTTATTAACTACTAAGAAAGAAGTTATTATAAAAAATAAACAAGATCGCATCCAATAATAGATTAATGGAGTAACGCAATTGTAGAATTATTTTTTTAATGTAACTGGAAACAAGATAAAGGGCCACCTGGTGGTAAATGGTAACCATCATCTACATACATACGGCACGGACTACGGACGGAGCACTGCAGATATCACGTTAACATGAGATACCAGTGGTACAACACATCGTTGCCATTTAGAAAATAATCGCATCTCACTCACCCTTTAACCGAAACGCATCTTACAAAGCATGATTACTATATATTAGGGTACTCACGCAAATGACTTAGTACAAAGTGTACCTCACCTTTTACTAACTAAATGCTAATCAAATCGTGTAGGTCTATTACAGACTCTTATGATATGTCAAATCTACCGTAAGTTCAGAGAGCATTCGAGCTAAGAAAAACTGACAAAAACCTTGGCTCTTATTCTTTTCAAATGAGCTTGCATGATTCCTAAAATACAAGGAGTGACTCCAAAGTCCCCATAAATATAATTTAACCCGTATTTTCCATAGTATTCTAAAGTAAAATTATTTAATAGCATTCCAAAATTTTGGGAACAGGTGCCATACCTGATGGCTCCTATATCCTGATGGCGCTATATCTCCAGAAGACAACAAAGGCCAAAGTTTGTCGCACGATTTTAATAATTATGAAGTCCAGCCCAAAATCAATCATTTCACTGCTAAGCTTGATGATAGGCCGCTTAGCTTATGTTTGGCACAATCAGTTTGGCAAAGTCGGAACCGATAATTTTCTGAAGCAGCTAGTAGATCAACCAATCAATTAGTTATCAATCAATCATTTTATATGCGATTAACGGTTTTGTGTGGTATATATTTAATATAACGTAGTCTTTTTCAATTTGTATTGCAATATAATTATAAAAATTGTAACATTAAATACATTATTTCATTTTACAAATAAATATGGAAGTGATAATGTCCATGGTAGTCATTGTGGCGTTTGTTACCTACATTAATCGAAATCTATGGGAATTGGAAATGGTTGTGACCGTTCATTAAAATTTAATAAATTCTTATACTTTTTTTTTAAACGAGTGATAACGGACATTGGAAATGACCAAGTTTTCTCGTCAGTGCTGACTACAGCAAAGGAAATAGCATTAATTAACTTATATATAATAAATATATTATAATGAAGTACTATTCTTTTTGGAGATAAAAAGAATGCGAAAGTTTATCTACTATTTAGGTAACTACGTACCCATAGATGAATATATTTTTTTTATCAAATTAGGCAATCAATCTTTTTGTATGTATGTACTTAGTAAGAAAATTTATTTTCACCATCATTATCATAAAATGCATTGATATCCCAGAGACTTTTTGTCTTTAACATCCTACACACATCAGTAAAATCAGCAGCTATTATAGGAACTAAACCTATAAAGTGTATTTCTCTCTTAATTACACCTTATAAGATCCGAAAGAAATTATCCTTAGAAATATATACTTAACGTATATCTACTTTCTTTCTACCATATGGGATTTATATATGTAATTATTTACGTTTTTATTCAGGAAATGGTAGTAGGAATTTAGCTTACGGTCTGCCTGATGATAAATAATAAGTTTTAATTGCAACACAAAGGTTTGAGTTACCTATCGTTGAATATTATTATTCAGAGTAGATGCTTCTCTGTTTCTGTGTCTCTGTTACTTATCTACTATTATCTACTATTAAAGGTATGTACCTACATACATTATGCAGGTAGGTAGGTACTTCTAAGTGAAGATCATTATAAATCTATGGGTGCAAAGGATATAAATTATCAGTCCATTACAATCATAAATATCTTATAGCTAACAAAAAACATTAAATAATGATGTGAACAAGTTTTTAGTCGTAAATCGAAAGATACCTACTTAAGGTCTGTACGTAGATAATTCTCACATGAAATGTTTTAATTTTTATGAATTTTTATTAAGTGTATTGTAAATAGAACAAAGTTTGCTGGTTTTTAGTGTAATGCGAATGTGATGTTTAAACTATTTCTCGTCGAATAAACGATTTCCATGATCGTTTACTATGTTTTATTTATGCTATACATTAATTTAGATGCCTACCTAATATCACGCTGGGATCACAAATATAATGGTTGGTATTGATGATAAGAGAGATTAATAAAATTATTTATACAGAATGACAAAATATAGAATAAAAATAATTCCTCTGTAGGTTAATAAAATAAAATAACAGAATTAAAGTACGTTATTCAATTTCCTAGATCGCTTATAAATTATTTCAATAATCCGTTCTTCTATCATCATAAGGGACCATCAGATGGGCTGAACGTTTGTTCGCCAAAGTCGTAGTTTAAAAAAAATCAACAAGTCAACCACCACCTACTCATCTAGTCAGATTATTTGTGAATAAGTAATAATGTATAATAAGTATGTGTGTATTAATATTTTATTATATTTAGTACGAATACCTTACTTTTTATATAGCAATTTCTAATTATTTATTAATGTCTAACGTTTCAGTTGATGTACCCAAAACATAATTCTTCAAAAGTTATTTCAACATTTAAAATAGAAAATAATTTTAGAAGGAAAAAAGTATAGGTTCTTTCTTGGTTTGAAATGTGTAAGACGACTTTATTTTATTATTATACGACCAGCGCCATCTTTTAGGTATAGTTGCTAATATAAATCAACAGCTTGCGCTCTAGTCGCGACAGTCTCGAGTAAGTGGTACACATTTACACCTCTTATGCTAGTTACATGGTTTGTTCAAAGATGGCGCTAAATGAAGAAATTAAATTGGCTTGTCCAAACCATTATTTCATTTTTAAAGATTCCTTTTTAACCCTTAAATCTAAACTAAAAATAATATACTTATTTTGTATATTTTTTAAATAAAGTCTTGATTTTCAGAATAAAATTAACAAAATCGGTAATATTTTCAATCAAGGTCAAGCGTTAATGTCAAAGTCAATGTTTGTGTTGTAGAGTTACTCCTGTTTTCATAATTTAAGTTTATTGTCTAAAATTTTTTATCAACTAACAAATTTACATAAGTATAACTTTATTTATATTTGTAGACTTATATACGAGTGAACAAAAATGGAAAGTCTACATTAATATTTAATAACCTATATCATCAAGTGTAGTGTTTGAAAAGTGTTAAAACGTAGAACCTATTCATTTAATATATTCATATAAACAACAGTTATAAAGATGACAGAATTAAAAATAGATGAAACTATACTCAAATACGAGACCTTCATCAACGACGTATTAAAAGAAGATTTGCGACAATTGCACGACCGACTGCAGTATGTTAACGCCGAAATGTCTGATTTAATCCAACAGAAACACACATTAAAAGTTGTTAATAACAAGCAAATGCATCCACATGGCTTTAAAACACAGGTCAATATTGGTTGCAACTTTTTTATGGAAGCAGAAGTTCCTGATACCTCGACTTTATTGATGGACATTGGTCTGAATCACTATTTAGAATTAAGTATAGACGATGCAAACAGGTTTTTAGATATAAGAATAAAAGCTTATGAGAAGAAGGCACAGGAATTGCAACAGAATGCCGCTGAGATTAAGGCACATATAAAATTAATGTTATTTGGAATTGCAGAGTTACAAAACAATGCAATAGGGAAAAATAGTTGATAAACAATACCTTCTCTATTATTATCCCAGTGGCATAGATAAAAAGTTTGTCAACTATGGTGGTGAAAGCAAGGCTTGATGTGACAATATTATGCTTGGTACATTTCTGTCCAACGTGACAAGGTGACCAAGCCTAAAGCAACATCTTATATATAAAATTCTCGTGTCACAGTTTTCATTCCCATACTCCGGAAACGGCTTGACTGATTCTCATGATATTTTGTGAGCGTATTGAGTAGGTCTGAGAATCGGCCAACATCTATTTTTCATCCCCCTAAATGTTAGGGGTAGTCCACCCCTAAATTTTATTTTTTATTTTTTAGACAAAATTTTTAGTTTCTAACAAAATACATACAATCCTAAATTTTCACCCTTCTATCATCAACCCCTATTTTTTGCCGGGACAGCTAGTAAAATATAAAAATTGAAATAAAGTGATAATAAATACATTGATTATGTAAGAATGGAGTTCTTGTGAATATTTTAATTTTCATTTATACCACAATCCCTAGATTTCATTTGTTATACAACTGTCCATATAAAATTGTTTGCTTACGAAATTAGGTCTTTCTAGATTGTATGTAATATGCATAGACAATGACAATTTTCTTTCTGTCATACTATTGTAAAAAAACAAGTCATATGTGATCTAGTTTTGTAATTTTATCTGAACCATATGAAGACTAATTAATGTTTTTATTAACCAAGTCAATTAAATCTTTTGCTATTAATTAATAAAAAAATATATTTTTATAAAATGTCATAATAAGTTTATGACATTTTTATTTAAATATCTAATGTATAATATATACAACATTAATACAGATTTTTATAATATTCCTCTTATACCACTTTTTTTTTTTAAAATAAAAAGATAATCTATGCTTGTCATTGTGATTCAAACTAACTTTAAATCAAAAGTATGGATTCAGCCAATTAGTTGTGAAAAGGTAAAATACAATAATAAGGTAAACAGATATGCAACCACTTACAAATTTATAATATTACTATTGGTAAATAATGTGGGTTTTCTATATTATATTTTTTATACATTTATTGTAACATTCAAATTGTGTGCTTAGAAATTTTGTACAAATCATTGAGAATTGCAGATGCAACTCTGCACTCTCTGCACAAAGTTGTTCTTGAAATTGTAACTGAAATTATTCATACAATATGTAGGTATAATTTAATTGTACATTTTAATCTGTTTCTAATAAATATGGTTTGTTATTTCTTTATTTGATTGAGAACTTGATTGTCCTCATTGTTCCTCCTTAGCAAACACTTATCCATAACTACTCGAATTATACCTACCTATTTAATGTCTTCCCCTTGTCACTCAAAATTCAAATTTATTCAAAAGTAGGTTCAATATGAACCCAATAAGTAGCAAAGTACCTCATCTCACTTCAGAACATTGTTACAAAGTGGTTGTTGAAGTTTCAAGACTCACAATGAATTACAATTCTGCTGCTCTAAGCTGTTAGGGTTGATTTAATTAATCGAGTTTAAAACTCGCTTACAGACGATCTTAAAAACAGACCCATTTTTTTAAAATATTGACAGGCAATTTTGATACGGTTTTCACTATGATTTACGAGAATTTAATTCTTGCAAGTTTATATGAATGTATGTATAATGTGTTTATACATAGATACAACCTACGTATAACATGTTTATACATAGACTGAACCTACGGTATTGTTAATAAGTAGACTAAACGGCCCGTTTATACAATAACATCTGTGATGAGAATAAAGTCAAGTGTAAACCGTTAGCGCAGGCAGATTCCATTATCATTCTAAAAAAACTCCTATTACATACACACTTTATGCCTGTACGCAGTCAAGGTAGGTAGGTTCCTAAATATTCCTAACCAATAATAAATATGCGATAAATATCAAGAATCAGATGCATAAAACATTATGCAGTGCAAATATCTGTCTGTCTCTGAATTACATCGAGGATAGTGCCTTGTGTGTGCAGTGTTAAGCTTGACTGGAGTATTATAAAGTACACTACAGGATGGGTATTCAGTGGCTTATCTGTGCAGGCCTAATTTTCTGAGGTAAAGGTAGGGCTGGTCGTTAGCTCAAGTGACGGAAAAAATTGAATTTAATTAGCATAATGGAATCGTAAAGCGAAAGCTGTAGTGTAAATGTAGTCTCTGAAATCCTCTTTATAGGTAAGTATACTGGCAGTTACCTACAACTTTGTGTGTATTTACATAAAAGATAGTCTATTTCCATCCACATGAGAAATTTAATTATTTAACAAATAGAGAAAAGACACTACATAGTGGATAGAATGGTTTTTGTATATTTTGTGCGTTACAAAATTAAAACGACTGAGCCGTTTATAATGTATTAGTGTTTAACAAGAAATACACTACTCAAGAAATGTTTAAGTTTGATATTTTCGCGTCACAGGTAATCACAAATCTATATATGTGTAACATTATTTGTTAATTATAATTTATTTTGTATAAAACATACATATATTTAAAATAGATATTTATTCGATTAATATAATCTGTAATGTTAAATCTTACCTTCTAAAGATGTACGTCAATTTGACATACATCTTTAGAGGTCAATGTCATTCAAATCGTCAGATGTCAAAGTCATTCTTTTAAATAAAACTTTATGATCAAAACGGGAAAATAACAGGATGGTCGAAAAGTTGTTGTCGGTTGAGATATGAACGAAGTGGGGAATAAAGACAAAGAAATAAAGAAAAAGCAATTTATATTATCGATTATTAAACAGCTGTTTTAGTTCAGAACTGGGATTAGTGCAAATAAACTAATTTGCGTTTAATACTACGCCCATCGGAATAAAACTTAAGGTAATTACTTGGATTGTTTTAAGAAATACATAAGACGAATAGACAGGGAACTAGCGAGATATAAAGTAATTACTTGGATTGTTTTAAGAAATACATAAGAAGAATGTACAGGGAACCAGCGATATGTAAGGTAATTACTTGGATTGTTTTAAGAAATACATAAGACGAATAGACAGGGAATCAACGAGATACAAAAATAAAAAAAAAAAAAGATGTCTACAAGTGATATCAAGAAATGCTGCGGAATAGTGTATTATTTCCTTCATGATTTATTATTATTATTTTTTTTTTTCTCTTCTTCTCTTTCTAATTTCTTTCTTTCTTGGTTTGTTAGAAATGAAATTTTAATATGAGTGAGTAAATAAGTTCATAGTTTAAGTGCCATATTGAATAATTATGACGCAATCGATTTTTCAAAAATAAAAAATTGAATTTATTTGTTATTAATTAAGTGTATGCTACTATTAATGACTCTTGAGAATACAAAATATACGACAGAACACATCTTTAATACAAAAATGTTTCTAAGTTCCAGTTAAAATGAGACGAAAACAGCGAGATGATTCTCGAAAACAGCGAGATAATTTTCGGAACAGTGATAATGATAAGGGTACTACCCCTCGTCATAGCCGCAGTCGAAGTCGCCATAGCGGCTGCCATGATGTTCAACGACGTCGAGCTGTACACGTCAACAGTGATAAGGCCCCGCCGAGCTGCTGCCATAGCAGAGATAAGACATCAAGAGTGAGGGAGAGATCTGCAACTCCACATGAGCAGGTACAAGACGATCACACTTTATTTGAAAAGAGGCAAAGCAGATGCGATGGAGATTTCGAAGCTGTTGAATCTGATTCTAATAAGAATAAGAAACAGAGAATGAACACTTCTGATTTGTTCGAGGAATTTTTATATGCTTTAAAAAGTAGAGTAGGGGATCGTGAATCTTACCCAGCACTTAATAATATAATACCCGAGTTTGATCCACTGTCCAAAGAACAGACTATTAATGTGTGGCTTGATAAAGTTGATGAATGTTCAGATATCTATAGCTGGAGCGAACGACAGACGATTCACTATGCCCTACCTAAGTTAACTGGCCATGCTCGGTCTTGGTATCAAGGATTGCCATCTGTTAAGCACTCTTGGGTTGAATGGAAAGCAATGCTAAGAGGTTCATTTCCAGCTACTGAAAATTATGCAGAATTATTGACAGAGATGCTCAACAGGAGAGCACGCCCGTCTGAGTCCTTAGAATTGTATTATTTTTCTAAAATTAATCTATTAAACCGTTGTAAAATCTTTGGTAAGCAAGCGGTGGATTGCATAGTTCATGGGGTTGATGATAGGGGTGTACGTGTTGGGGCACAAGCTGCAAAGTTTGAAAAGACTGAAGATATTCTAGAATTTTTTAAATCTGTTAAGAATAATTCTCGTGATTATATCGACCTCAGAAAAGATGGTAGTAACCGTGACAAAAGATTTCACATGTCTTCATCATATCCCCTAAGTAAAGGAAATAATGATGTTAGTAATAAGACTCGGGGTCGTGGTGAGACACTCACCTGCTTTAACTGTAAAGAGGTAGGACATCCATGCTTTAGGTGTCCCAAGCCAATTGTTAAGTGTACCAGTTGCTATCGATTAGGCCATGTTTCACAATACTGCCCTAAATTTTCTAGAAAAGACAATGTGGACAATACCCAATCTAAAGAGAAAAAAATATTTGAGGTTGCATTAGATGAAGTGGATATAGTGGATGAAGCAAAGACTGTACTGAAAGTCTTCATTGAAGACAACCCTAGTGATAAATATAAAATTTATATCAAAGTTAATGACATCTTAACACCTTGTCTTGTCGATTTAGGTAGTGAGGCAACCGTAATACGCGAAAGTGACGCAGCCAAATTAGGTTTAACTTGGCAAAGAATTAAAGGCCCATTTTTAAGGGGCCTCGGTAACATACCCTATCTACCATTGGGGCGTACAACGGTTAACATAGCTATTCAAGATGTATTAGAACGGGACGTTGAAGTGTTTATTGTAGATGACCAACTCATTTCATATAACATTTTACTTGGGCACAGCTTTACTGAACGGCCAGATCTACGGATTATCAAAACAGCAACCGAGTTGCAGTTTGAAAAGGTTGATCCCTTCAATATCATAAAATTGCCACTCATTGCATTCGAGACTGCAGTACTGGATGTTGGTGCAATGAAGTCTATCCCAGTCAGATCTGAGGATTTTATAAGTGGAAGCATTTATATTTGTGGAACTGTTAGAAGCATTAATGGAAATGAGTATTATTTATTACCAGGAGAGTTTCAGATTACTAAAGGAAAATGCCTTTTGCTAGCACAAAATGTTGGAACAGGAATAGTGACAATTAAAGAAGGATCTCTTGTAACACGAGCACGGTATTTAGGAACAAGTAAAGCAATTCACCAAATATCAGAGGG